GGGGACTGTCCTTTCCCGGGGGAACAACGGGAAAGGGGCCCCTTTTTTTTAAAATTTCCCCTTTTTTAGGCAGCCCTGGGTAAAACCCCTTTGGGTTTTCCAGTCAAGTATGAAGTTAAAAATGTTTTTTTGGTTTTCACTGAGACTGGTAAGGGGGTTTGAGGGCCGGCAATTTTAGACAGGGGTTTGTGGTTTTCCCAAACCAAATATAGAAACCCCAGTATTTAAATTTTTGCCCAAAAACGTCATTAAAAAAGGGTTCCCCCTTAGGAAAATTTCAAAAAAACCCTTTTATAGAATCCCCCCCAAAAGAATTTTATTTGGGCCAAAAAAAAAAGAAAGTTTTGAAGAATCATATTAGGTGTTGCCGAGAAGTTTAGCAAGTTGGGGAAAAACCCGGACTTTTCCCTTAAACCCGCACCTCTCCCAAACCCCTACCTGCTGATGGAAACCCTTTTTTTCCCGATTTTAAATTAAAAGGGTTGTGTAGGTCCACTTTCCTAAGTTTAAAGTCTGGAAATCGTATTTTTTTACAATTATTTGGGTAAAGTAAAACCCCAAAATCCTAACGATCCCAATGCGTAGTAATTTAATACTAAAAGATATTTCTCAAAGCTTTTTAAAAAATTCATTTCTTGTTTTTTGGGTTCCCAAAAATATAAAAAAAGGGGGTCAAGGACTAACCCTTCCCCTGGCCCAAAACTTTAAAAGGGGAAATATTAAAATAGGTTAGGGATTTTTCACAACTTATCCATGCCTAAACATCCTCAGTCCCCCAAAGGGGCCTTGGAAAAATTTCCAAGGGCATTAAAAACCAAGAAAGAAAGTTTTTTTCATGCACTTTTTCCCAAAGATTGGGATGAATCCCACCTTTTTTTGCTGTTCTCAGTACAGAGACGGTTTTCCAAAAGGGTTTCGGGTTTTAAATCCGTTTTTAGCTGATCTTTGGGGACAAAGTAGAGGGGGGGCCCTCTTTCGGGGGCTAAAGAAGGAGGGGTGGGAGAAAAAGTAAGCTCAGCACTCTACAACCCGTCTTCAAGGTTGCGGTGGGAAAGGGGTTGGGCCCCGGGGGGATCCCCCAAAGACAGCTCAAAGTAAGATGGGAAAAAAGGGTATACAAAGTGCACAATTCCGCTCCCCTTCCTTCCCGGAGACAAGGGTTTGGGGCAGGAACCTAACCTGGCCCCACCTTGAAAGCTAGATTACGGGAACCCATGCGATTGTAAGTAATTATCTGATTTAAATTAGGGTTTGCTCCCATTGAAAAGACCCCAAAAACAAAAACTTACCACATTAATTTAAATCAAGGCCTTTCATACCCCAGATAAAGTCCCATAATGACTCTGTCCCTACCTCGAGGCGACTCGACTCTTTGCAAATCTTCTCTGAAATTAATACTAAACTTTCAAAATTTTGTCCTCCTCAAAGGTCCCAGCCCGTTAATGGATGGATTTTTCTTTAAATACAAGCAACCAATTTAACTGAGCCCCTTTTACAGTAAAATCCTAAAATTTTTTCGGATGTCCGAAAAAATGTACGTTAGGTTACCATGAGTAGATGTGGGAAAATCTAAACCAATTAAACTTCCCCCTACAGAGCTAATCCCGAAAACAAAGGCACTTTTAGCAAGGAAATGACTTCTTTTTTAGAAAAAAAGGTTTAGTTGGGGGAGGGCCCTCTAGCCCCTGGGGTTCACCGGGACCTAAATAAAAAAAGGGGATGGAGGGGTTTGTATGTGCACAGCTACCGAAAAAGGGGGAAAGGGGTCCAATCACAGATGTTACCCTCTTCCCCCGTCTTTGGGTGACGTAATTGACTTTGTGGGGGAAGGTACTTTTTGTGTCCAAAAATTTGATCTCCTTTTAAAGGTTACTATCAGGTCCCTTTAAAGATAAGGCGAAGGAAGTCTCTTTCCCTTTGTAATTTCCCGGGGTCATTATCAGTATACAGTTACCCCTTCGGGAAAGGAAAAATTTCCCCCCCCTTCATTTTCCCGAAACTCATCCATCAGGGGTATTAAAGGACTTTAAGGCACGGGAGCATACCCCAGATGATATTGTTGGGGTTTTCTGATTCTTGGGATCAACACCTACTTAACTTTTTAAAACTCTGTTTGGACCTTTTAAAATTCCCCCTTAACAGTTAAAATTTTTTTTAAAATTTTCCTTTTGGGCCCGGCCCCTGTCACTTTTTCTAGGCCATGAAGTAGGGATGGGAATGTTGCACCTAAACTTGCTAAAGTTCTTTCGATTTAAAAAATAAACCCCCTTTCCCCATGATGGAAATCTCTTTAACGTTTTTAGGGATGATAGGATTTTACAGAAGGGTTCTGTAAGAATTTCTCGATATTTTTAGCCCCTCTTAAACCCCTCTACCAGTCATAAAGTTCCCTTTTTAAATTGGGCGTCAGTTGTTCACTGCTTTTAAAAAAGCAAAAAGATTATTGTGCTTTGGGAAACCCTTTTTTCCGTCTCCAACCTTTTTCCCAAAAAATTTTTTATTACAGGTTGATGCTTGTGAGTCTGGGGTTGGGGGGGTACTTACAAAACCCCGGGGAAAAAGGAGCGCAAGGGCCCAAACGCATACTTTTTTGCTAAGTTCCGCCACATCAGAGAGCTTACTTAAACCCTTTAAAAAAGAAACCCCCGCGCTGGTAAAAGGCTTTGGAACATTTCGATGTTTTTTAAATGGGGCCCAAAATCCAGGGGGTCACGGGTTTCAGTGATCACAACCCGTTAGTCTACTCCAAGCCTGAAAAAATCCAACACAAGGCTTATCCCCCCCTTTGGGGCGTTTAGGGGTGCCCGCCCTAAAAAACCTTTAAAAAATTTAAATTTTAATTTCCGGGGAAAGGGAAAAAAATTTTTGGGAGACTCTTGTCAAAATTTTAGTTTAATATTTTATTTTGGTTAGGATGTTTTGGGTAAAAACCCCCCTTTCAAAAATTTTTTTTTTTCCCCTGATATGGGGTTTTTTTTTTTTTGTGAAAGGGGTTTCGGGCAAAAATCCCCTTGGATCTTGGGGCCTAGTTGGCCCTATCCCGAACCCGCTGTTCCTCGAGTTTTTTGGGTTTTGGGTTTTGGTCACTAGGGAAAAAAGGCTCCCATTTTAAGAAATTGGGTGGTGGAGAGGATAGGGGGGCCCATTAATTTTTGTGCCATGGCGGGACGGTTACCACGGGGGGGTGGAGCCCCAACCTGAGCCCTTTTGGGGGTGGGGGTTGGGGAGCCAAAAAGTACGTAAACCCTTTTTTCGGCGCAGGACCACCCCCAAATTTTCAGGCTATCTCCCCCCCAAACCCCGCCCCAACCCGGTTGTAAGAGTTTTTTGAAAAGGGGGCCCCCTCGTTCAATAGTGACCAGGGTTCCCAGCCAATAAGAAGGGGGGATTGGAATTTTTAGAGGTTTTTGTGGATAACCCCTCTCCTTCTGGGCCCCCCGTCATTCCCATTCTAGGCTGGGTTTAAGCACGGGGGCTATTTGTGGCTTCTATTTCTGCCTTGCTTTTACCGTGGAGTGCACTTTTATTTAAACCCTGTACATAGTGTACATATTGCTGTTCTAAATTGGTGAAGGATAATATAAGTCTAAACTTTTTCTACTGTGTTTATTTGCTCCCATTACACCTGGGATAACAGGCCATTTGAAATCCTAGGTTGTAATAGTGTGCGTGCATGTGAGTGAGTGAGTGTGTGTGTGTGTGTGTGTGTGTGTGTGTGTGTGTGTGTGTGTGTGTGTGTGTGTGTGTGTGTGTGTGTGTGTGTGCACTCACCTAGCTGAACTCACCTAGTTGTGGTTGCAGGGGTCGATTCATAGTTCCTGGCCTCGCCTCTTCACTGGTAGCTACCGGGTCACTCTCGCTGAACCATGAGCTTTATCATACCTCTGCTTAAAGCTATGTATGGTTCCTGCCTCCACTACATCGCTTCCCAAACTATTCCACTTAATGACTACTCTGTGACTGAAGAAATACTTCCTAACATCCCTGTGATTCATCTGTGTCTTCAACTTCCAACTGTGTCCCCTTGTTGCTGTGTCCCATCTCTGGAACATCCTGTCTTTGTCCACCTTGTCAATTCCTCTCAGTATTTTGTATGTCGTTATCATGTCCCCCCCTATCCCTCCTGTCCTCCAGTGTCGTCAGGTTGATTTCCCTTAACCTCTCCTCGTAGGACATACCTCTTAGCTTTGGGACTAGTCTTGTTGCAAACCTTTGCGCTTTCTCTAGTTTCTTTACATGCTTGGCTAGGTGTGGGTTCCAGACTGGTGCCGCATACTCCAATATGGGCCTAACGTACACGGTGTACAGGGTCCTCAACGATTTCTTGTGTGTGAGTGTGTGTGTGTGTGTTTGTGTGTATGTTGATGTTATCAAGATAGGTAACATGTGTGTACCGGTATTGATTTTTAACATGCTGGTGTTGTATAACTTCTCTTGTTGTATAACTCACTCTTTAGAGTGAGAGGGGTTGAACTGAGAGGGGTTGGGCCTGAATGAGAGGGGTTGGACTGAGAAGAGTTGGATCTGAGTGAGAGGGGTTGGATCTGAGTTAGAGAGGTTGGACTGAGAAAGGTTGGATCTGAGTAAGAGGGGTTGGACTGAGAGGGGTTGGATCTAAGTGAGAGAGGTTGGACTGAGAAGGGTTGGATCTGAGTGAGAGGGAGTGGAAGGAGGAGGGCTGGACTGAGAAGGGTTGGATCTGAGCGAGAGGGATTGGAAGGAGAAGTGTTGGATCTGAGTTAGAAGGGATGGACTGAAAGGGGTTGGATCTGAGTCTAATAGAGGGGTTGGACTGAGAAGGGTTGGGTCTGAGTTAGAGGGGGTTTGATTTAAGCGGGACTTGCACATGAGTTAAAAGTGTTATCAAAGCTTATAGATTCGCTAGCATTGAAAATGTTTTGGGCAAATATTTTCGTTAGTGGGTCTGGATCTAATAAGGATCTGCCCATTATGGGCCAATAGGCCTGTTGCAGCGTTGCTCATTTCTTATGTTCTCTTACCAGTGGGAGTAGATGCCGTTGATGGCCATGTCTTCAGCGCCCCAGGAGTCACCGTTATCGTACCTACAGCGCTTCCCGCCGCAGAAAACTGAGCACTGAAGCTCTGTGGGGGTTACCTGACGGAAGTGCTCACTAATGCGGGAGTAGTTACTGTGAACTACAGTCTCTCTCTTGTTGAGGGAGAGCCCCGCCGGCCGCAGCCCCTCCACCTCCGCACCACTAACACTCTCCACCGACATCTGTACAAAAAAAGAGAAACGTTGATGAGGCTTACCTCTTGTTCTTGATGTTGTGAAGTTTATATATGCTACAATAATATGATGTTGTGAAGGTGATATAAGCTATAATATGATGTTGTGAAGCTGTTATATGCTATGCTATGATGTTGGGAAGCTGATATATTCTAAGCTATGATGTTGGGAAGTTGATATATGTTAGTCTGTGTTGTTGTAAAGTTGATATATGTGCTAGGCCATGATCTTATGAGGTTGATATGTGCTAGGTTATGATGCTCTGAAGCTGATATATGCTAATTTATGATGTTGTGAGGTTGATATATGCACTTGAATGGTATACAATACCGACAAGATGAAAATTAGATACTTGAGCAACATCTGGGTACCTTTATTGTAGACGTTTCGCCATCCAGTGGCTTTATCAATACAAATTCAAGTACACAGTTGGAAGACAGTAGATGTGGAATATAATTTCCCATAATTATGCTGTATATCTTTTATAATGTAAATATACATGATTAATGCATTACTATTGTTCTAAAGTGTATTTTAAAGAAAAGAGCCTACAGGGAACCTCTGCGCCTACGCTGACGAGGGAGAGGCGGGAGTGTTTTGAATGGAGTTAAGAGGCTGGGAAAAAATGGGACCAGGAAATTGACATCCACGGCGGCCTAAGGATTAATATTGGCCTCACTTCGTAATAGGAAGTGTCGTAACTGTTCCTGGTGTAGAGTGAGGGAACGTGATTTACGGGACCATCGTAATAAAGTGAATAATGGTAAGTGAATAAAGTGAATAATGGTAATTAGTGAATAATGGTAAGTGAATAAAGTGAATAATGGTAATTAGTGAATAATGGTAAGTGAATAAAGTGAATAATGGTAATTAGTGAATAATGGTAAGTGAATAAAGTGATAATGGTAATTAGTGTAATAATGGTAAGTGAATAAAGTGAATAATGGTAATTAGTGAATAATGGTAAGTGAATAAAGTGAATAATGGTAATTAGTGAATAATGGTAAGTGAATAATGGTAAGTGAATAAAGTGAATAATGGTAATTAGTGAATAATGGTAAGTGAATAAAGTGAATAATGGTAATTAGTGAATAATGGTAAGTGAATAAAGTGAATAATGTTAATTAGTGAATAATGGTAAGTGAATAAAGTGAATAATGGTAATTAGTGAATAATGGTAAGTGAATAAAGTGAATAATGGTAATTAGTGAATAATGGTAAGTGAATAAAGTGAATAATGTTAATTAGTGAATAATGGTAAGCAGGCACTGGTGGACGCCATGGAGTGTGTTCAGGGGAAAATACCCATGATTTAATCATCACTCATCGGTCTCAGATCTTAATGGAGTGACCTCTAATGTACATAATAGTTATGAGACGTTAAACCGTATGGTGGGCTGTGAAGTAAACAGTGACAATAACACTAAGTTACGAGAATGTGCGAAGTGAAATGAGTCGCCGTTCTCCGAGTGAGCATCTGTTAACCTCGTGGTTCCTGTCCCGAGGATAGTGGAGTTTATGGAGTCACGATTTCTAAACCGGAACAAACCAACGGATACCTCGTCCTGCTGAAATAAGAACCGTATCGGTGTAGCAGGACATCAAAATGAGATGGTGAATGGAGGAAATAAGGAGCATCAATCACCCACAGTTAGGTAACCCTTCTAGTTATAGCAAACTGATACTCGCCAGTTAGGTATGTTGTAATTGGATGGGTTGTGGGTGATCTAGCTACATCAAGTGACCATCAGAGAATATCTGGTAAGTGGTGTTATTATATACAAGTATTTTTTCTTGATGGATATATATGTGTGTAACCTACTCCCCCCTTTCATTCAGTCAAATATAATAATAATCTATACAGTCCACAATTAATTAGTAGCGCCGTACTTGTGGGTGCTATCCACGTCATACTGGTCTCGGATAGATATGGGTAAGGTTGTGAGGTCGAAGGAGCCACCTGTAGTGACCAGGGGTGGCTAAGTTTTCTCACATGTCTACACGGGGTAACTACTGTAAACAATATATGGTTGTCGCCTCCCAATGAGATTACTTGTATGAAGGTAATCTTGAGGTACATATAGGTACCCCTTATAAGTTTTCCATAGTAGAACTATATACAAAAGATGAGGTAATCAGTTCCTCAGTCTTGGAGTTGGTGTGAAGATCACAGTAGTTGTGAATTTGAGGGATTGTTTACCTCATTTTTTGTTTATAGTTCTTCTACTTTCCAGTTATGTCCTTGAATTTGTATAGATAAACCACTGGATGACGAAACGTCTACAATAAAGATACCTACCCAGGTGTTGCACATGTGTTTAATTTTCACCAAGCTGATATATGCTAAGCATGGTGTTATGAAGCTGATATATGCTAGGCTAAGTGTTAGTGGACACCTAAAAGTACATGACGGTGTAATGTATAAACTAATTACTAGACTTCTACACCAAGCATTAAAATTATCAATATATATATAATATATATATATATATATATATATATATATATATATATATATATATATATATATATAATATAAACACTGATCTCTGGCTGAAGGAGACTCGAACCTACGAACCTTGGGAACAAGGTACGCAGTGCTTTACCAATCTACCCACACTGGACCAATACCTTGGAGTCCAGCTTGCGCTAGACTTTGATCCAAGGCAGCCAGCTTTCAGGGAGAAGGCTTACAGCTTTTTATCTCATCCCCTGCATGCATCAGCCTTACTAGAGATATTAACAATGCAAGGAATTCGCAAGAGCAGGCGAATTCCTTGCATTGTTAATATCTCTAGTAAGGCTGATGCATGCAGGGGATGAGATAAAAAGCTGTAAGCCTTCTCCCTAAAAGCTGGCTGCCTTGGATCAAAGTCTAGCGCAAGCTGGACTCCAAGGTATTGGTCCAGTGTGGGTAGATTGGTAAAGCACTGCATACCTTGTTCCAGGTTCGAGGTTCGAGTCTCCTTCAGCCAAGATCAGTGTTTGTGTATATTTCGCCTGCTCTTGCGAATCCTTGCATATATATATAAAATATATTATATAAAATATATATAAAATATATATAAAATATATATATATATAAAATATATATATATAAATTCTTCTAACCACCTATATTTTATATATATTTTATTTAAAGACAAAATACATTGATAAAACATTCGCGAAAATACAATAGAAAGTAAAACAACACAGATCTCAACTCAGTGCTACATCTCGAATACTTCGTCCAGCTCCCCGGCAGTGGGCCGCATGCCCAGAATGCTGCAGGCATTTCCTCTCTGGATCGCGACACTGAGTCTCTGAAAGAGGAAGCTGGTCGCTCTGTGGTCCTTGGTTTCTATGATGAGCTTTTCACCCAGCTCTTTGAGGAACTTTAGAGCACACTTGCCCCATGCTCAATGGGTCTCCGACACTATTGGAATGAAGTTATAGCAAGGGGTAAGGTCTTCATATTTGCGGATTTTCTGGGTCTCCCTGTAGCTGGCAGTTCCACTCCCTTCAGTTACGGAGTATGACAAGCAGGTGTCTGCCAATATGGCGGCACAGGTGTAGTCCCAGGCAATCTGCTTTCCATCCTTCCAGGGTAGCATAGTGGCTCCATCAGGGGGCTTTTGACTTCCGTCGGACCTCTGCGCTTGGAGTTCCCGTTTGGCTGGGCAACGGGCTGTGGCGAGGCTTCTCTTTATGATGTGATTGACCTCCTCATGTCTGGCATGCTTCCCGTCTGCTGTGTGACACACGAGACCATGAAGTCCGAATTGATCAGCTGTCGCCCTGCCGCAAATACACCTATGTTCGGTGAGGACGGGGGTGGCTAGGCGAAGAGCAACACCAGTCCGAATGGTATAGTCTAAACTACTCCAAAACCAGGGGCTTGCACGAGACACACTGAAGTCAACGACATCATTAAGAGAAGAAGCCTTGTTTAAGATGGGTGCCTGGCTGAGAGCTCTCATCCATAGCACACGTCAATACTCCCATCCCCCAATCCGTTCTGACGGGATCACCATCTATCCCTGGAAGAATGGCGCGTCTACTCTAATTAACACCTACATCCATCACAGAGTTCGTCAACAGGGAGGTGCTGCAGATCACAGGGAGGAGTACAAGATCAGCATGTATAGAGACTTAAGCCATCAGTACCAATTTGTCCCAGTGAGATTCAGGGGAAAGGAATGCCACACATTTATTCAAAGAACTGTGTTCCAGGCTCACTGACACCACTAGGGAGCCAAGGGTGGCCACTTTTATGTTCCAGCTTCTCATCGTGGCCATCCAGAGAGAAAACGTTTACTGCTTACTTGGCTCGCATTTAACTTCAGAGAAGCTGGAGAAGATTCATGACGCTGCACTGTCTCGACTACTCAGGCCTCTAACAGGAGCTTGTTAAACCATAACGACTTGACAAAGCCCTGGAGAGCAATACGTTGCCACAATAAAATGTCCCATTAGTTGAATCTGTGTCTATTTACCCAACAGCTCATATATTACTCTATCTGTTACTTACTATCTGAAAAGGCTGGTCAAAGTTGGACTGTTTTTGGCCTATGTAAGTTACAGTTTGTTTTTGGAAGTAACTGAAAAAATATAAATATAGTTTGTCATGTGATAATATCTGAGTGTCGTACCTGATTATCTTCAACCCTTCCATGCTTTATAATCTTTGGTTCTGAAAGATCTGAATTAGATTTGGTTTGTGTATATCCTAACTTAATTTTTTTTAAGAATTTTGAACATTAGTTTTCATAAAATCGGTTGTGAAAACCTCTTCTCTTTCCCTTCATATGTCGCACTCTGCACTAATCCATTCGCCTACATTGAGGCACAAAGGACAGGAGTTATAGAATAAGGGGACACCTTTCCCGGATCGCTTAACGACTGAAATACATCTAGTTTTAATATTAAATTTGCCTCCATAGTAGCAAAATTATAGTCGTATACGTCCACTGGAACGTCTTCCCAACGGACGGTCATGTGTGCAG